GAAAAAAAAAATATATATATATATATATATATATATATATATACACACAGATGAATCCTAGTTCTCTTTAGCTAGACCTCAGAATCCCACTGTTCTCCCCAGGGGTTTTCAGTGTTACCAGTTTAATGGATATTGCTCCAAATTTTTATGTGTGTATTTACATAAATCTGTAGTTTCAATTAATAGTTTTGTTTTAAGTAAATGGTTTCTTACCTTATACTTTGTTCTAAAAACTGCTTTTTGTTTTCAACATGTATTTTAGATGCTTTTTTTTTCATATCAGTAATGTATAGACCTGCTTCATTCTCTGGAGCTAATGCACAGAATCCCATAGAATAACATACCACAGATTATTGAACCATTTTGCTAGATAGAATCCCATAGAATAACGTAGCACAGAATATTGAACCATTTTGATAGAATCCCATAGAATAACATAGCACAGATTATTGAACCATTTTGATAGCATTGTGTTGCTTGTTTCTGATTTTTAAAATATGCCCCCTTTTGTACATATGCAAGTATTTCTCTAGGACAGATTCCAGATTTATATACATTTAAAATTTTAGTAACTACTGCCCATTTGCCCTCCAGCAAAGCTTTGTATACTTGTAGTATGAGAGTACCGTTTCCCCATACCCTCAACAACACTTGGTACTGTTCTTCATTTTTATCTATCTGATGGTTGAAAATGGTATCCAGTTCCTTTGATTTTCACTTCCCTTATAGATTAGTAAAACTAGATTAGTAAGATCAGTTTTTTGGGTTTTTTTTTGAGGCAGAGTCTTGCTCTGTTGCCCAGGCTGGAGTGCAGTGGCGCGATCATAGCTCCCTGCAACCTGGAACTCCTGAGCTCCAGCAGTCCTCCTGCCTTCACCTCCTGAGTAGCTGGGACCACCGGTAAATACCACCATGCCTGGCTAATTTTTAAAACTTTTTTGTAGAAGTGGGGTCTTCCTGCATTGCCAAGGTCTTGAACTCCTGGGCTCAAGCATTCCTTCTACCTCATCTTCCCAAAGTGCTGGGATTATAGGCATGAGCCATTGTACCTACCCCCAGTTGTATTCTTTTTTTTTTTTTTTTTTTTTGAGATGGAGTTTCGCTCTTGTTACCCAGGCTGGAGTGCAATGGCGCGATCTGAGCTTACCGCAACCTCCACCTCCTGGGTTCAGGCAATTCTCCTGCCTCAGCCTCCCGAGTAGCCAGGACTACAGGCACGCGCCACCATGCGCAGCTAATTTTTTGTATTTTTAGTAGAGACGGGGTTTCACCATGTTGACCAGGATGGTCTCAATCTCTTGACCTTGTGATCCACCCGCCTCGGCCTCCCAAAGTGCTGGGATTATAGGTGTGAGCCACCGCGCCCGGCCCCACAGTTGTATTCTTAAAGATTCATGAGTTTCTTATATTCTAAGAAACCATCCTCTCTTATTCCTTTGAGTAGTCTCTACAGCTTGGTCTGTGCATTCTCTCCTTGTGGAATTCTTGTTACATGAACATTGAAACTTCTAGATCTGCTGCCATGTCTCTTAATTTTTCTTTCATGCTTTCTGTCTGTCCTTTTGAACTGCTTTCTGTGAAAGAATTCCTCGACCCAATCTTCCTTTTTAAATTTACTTTTCACTTGCGTCAATTCTGCTATTTGGCCCACCTGTTGAATTTCTATTTTGACAGTCCAGCCTTCTAATTTCTAGCATATCTAGCTGATTCTTTTTTCTTGGGTATAATGTTCTCATATATCTCCCACGAAATAGATATTACGTGTATATAGCTCTGGGTTTCCTGTTCCGTTTGTCTGTCCTCCAGGGTAAAGTCTTCAGTTTCCTCAGCGTAGCAACTCTCTCTTTAGTATTTCTCAAATGTTTGTTGATTCTTAGCTGAAAGCTCATTTATTTTTTAATCTATTTTTTGAGACCAAGTCTCACTCCATCACCCAGGCTGGAGTGCAGTGGTGCAATCTTGGCTCACTGCAACCTCTGCCTCCTGGTTTCAAGCGATTCTCCTGCCTTAGCCTCCTAGTAGCTGGGATTCCAGGTGCCCACCACCACACCCAGCTAATTTTTGTATTTTTAGTAGAGATGGCGTTTCACCATGTTGGCCAGGCCGATCTGGAACTCCTGACGTGAAGTGATCCACTTGCCTTCGCCTCCCAAAGTGCTGGAATGACAGGTGTGAGCCACCATGCCCGGCCCTGTCTTTATTTTTGACATTTCTCTTTTAGTCTGATCAGGAATGCTCTTTTACTGCTACCTGCTAGTGGGCAAGCAGTGGGAAGTCCTGCTTGGCTAAGTGTATCACAGATGGCTCTTCCCCAGTGAGGGGGGCAAGACCTGGGGAAACCTGCCAGGTGGGTGTCCCAGCGACTGCTCTAGGTTTCGAGGCTCCCAGGTTTTCTCGGGTGTTGGCTGCCCCTCTGGCGACTGCTGAAGTTCTTAGACCCCGAGGCCCACACCTGACACCTGACCTGAGCATGCACAGTGAGAACGCACACACACACGCCGCTGACTTACTCCTGCTGCAGGAGACAGTGTGCCCGCCGGCAGTGGACCCGGGGGCCCATCCTGCTCCTGTATCATGTCTTTCATTTCTGAGAAGCATTTTGGGCAGTGATTTTCTTTAATCCCTCATACAGGAAGTGCTCAAGCTTCTAGTCTATCACTTTTCTTGCCTGGATTTAGATTTTATTTTTATTATTTCTAGGGCTCTGGGGTAGGAATGGAAGGTTGCAGCATGTGCTGCTTGTACCATCTTGTAGTGGAAATGCCAAAGAACTATTTGGGAATGTTGGAGCATAGCTTGGCAGAGTGCTGGGGAAGTCACCACCCTTTCCTCGTCTTTGCTGACCCTCACACCTAGAGCTGGCTGATCGTCTTATCAGACCAGGCTGTGAAGCAGCCAAGCAGGCCGACGAGCAGGACTTCAGGAGCTGTGAGAAGGAAGGAGCTTGCATGGAG